CATGTTCTGGCAGTCTCGTGGTCCTGCCATGTTCTGGCAGTCTCGTGGTCCTGTCATGTTCTGGCAGTCTCGATGGTCCTGTCATGTTCTGGCAGTCTTGTGGTCCTGCCATGTTCTGGCAGTCTCGATGGTCCTGTCATGTTCTGGCAGTCTCGTGGTCCTGCCATGTTCTGGCAGTCTCGTGGTCCTGCCATGTTCTGGCAGTCTGGGTTGTCTTGCCATGTTCTGGCAGTTTTGGTTTCCTGCCATGATGCAGGTAGTCTCAGTTGTCCTAAACACTGTCATTTTTTCAGATGACATACAAGTCTATATTACATGCAAAAGCAACCAGTCTGCAACAATTACTTCTATGGAGGCTTGTCTTGAAGAAATTCCAGAATGGTTGAAAGTGAACATGTTGGCTTTAAATGATACTAAGACTGCGTTGATTTGATTTACATCAAGGTTCAAGACAAATAGGAAAAATGCAGCAAATGCCAACATTTGCATAGGAGATGTTCTTACAAAACCATCTAGTTTTGTTAAAGATCTGGGAGTTCCCCTCAATGAAAATGGCACTGTGGGGAAGCATGTATTTGAAGTGTGTAAATCAGCATCTTATGCACTATGGCGCATTGGAAAAATAAGGAAAGTGTTAAATAACAAAACCACTGAAAAATTAGTGTATGCATTTAAATCATCAAGATAACTTGATTACTGCATTAGTCTCTTTTTTGGTATATGTCACCATCAGATAAAAAGAGAAGGGGTCTTTCAAAAGTTATGGTAAAGCTGATGCTGGCAGTCTCGGTTGCCCTGCCATGATCCTGGCACTGTGGGTCGTCCTGCCATTTCCTGGAAGTCTTCAGTTGCCCTGCCATGATGCTGGCAGTCTCACTTGTAATGCCATGTTCTGGCAGTTTTTGGTAGTCCTGCCATGTTATAGCAGTCTTGGCTGTCCTGCCATGATGATGGTAGTCTTGGCTGTCCTGCCATGATGCTGTGTTAGGGCCAATCCAATTCTCATAATACATGTTACCTGTAGAAGTTATACTTAAACATGGTCTGAACAATGTCATTTTTGCAGATGACACAAGTCTATATTACATGCAAGAGCAACCAGTCTGCAGCAATCACTTATATGGAGGCTTGTCCTGCAGAGATTCGAGAAAGGATAAATGTGATTTTTATGTGAACATGTTGGCTTTAAATGATACTGAGTCGATATGGTTGACATCAGGGTTCAAGGCAAATAGGAAAATGTAGCTAATGCCAACATTTGCATAGGAGATAGTTTTGTAAAAGATCTGGGAGTTACCCTCAATGAAAATGGCACTATGGGGAAGCATATATCTGAAGTGTGTCAGCATCTTATGCACTGTGGCGCATTGGAAAAATAAGGGAAGTGTTAAATAACAGAACCACTGAAAAATTAGTTCATACATTTAAATCGTCAAGATAAGATTACTGCAATAGTCTCCTTTTTGGTATATGTGACTATTGTGGAGAGCATTTAGTGCTTCCAGCGCTTTGCCTCCATTTCTTTCGAATAAACGTTGTTAAAAAAAAAAATCAGATGAGAAAATTACAAGTTATTCAAAACTCATCTGCAAGACTGGTTTGTCAAGTAAAGTGCAATAGAACACACCTTATCACTCCCATTCTGAAAGGATTACACTAGCT